TGAGAACGAGATCACAGAGGCGTGGCTCGTCAACGATGCCAAGGCGCTTGGCATCATCGCCCAGGGTGTGGAACTCCAGCACCAGACCAAGATCCGGTCGGCGACGCGTTCCATGGAAGCATGGGAAACGCTCCGCGAGTTCTACAATCGCACCACGCTCCACAACCGCGTGACGATGACGCGTCGACTGCACGAGTTCAAGATGGAAAGCGGATCGTCTATGGCCAAGCATCTGGATGCGTTCGATGAGCTGATCGTCGGTTTGCAGACGCTGGGAGAGCCCATGGACGAGGCACGTCAGCTGGTGGTACTGCTGAGCAGCCTCCCCGCCGAATACGAGCTCATATCGTCTATCCTGGAGAACGCCAAGGGTGTGACGCTCATCGAGGCCAAGGAGAAGCTGTTGAAGGAGTATGAGCGACTCGAGAAGAAGAAAACCACGGAGAAGGCGTTCCAAGTGAATGGGAACGCAGGCAAGTTCCGAAACGGCCGAGGGAACGGTCGAAAGTGGAACGCTCCGAAGCGGAACGTTGGTTTCAAGGGCAAGTGCTTCAACTGTGACCTCGTGGGCCACATGAAGCGGGACTGTCCTGCTCCGAAGAAGGGTAGCCAAGACGATGCAGTGTTTGCAGTTGGTGGGGAACGCTCGGCCGGGTGGCTGATTGATAGCGGTGCGACGTCGCACATGACCCCTCACCGGAACGACCTGTTTGAGTACAAGTCGTTGGACACTAGCATGAAGGTGACGATTGCAGACGGCAAGAAGCTGCACGTCGCAGGAACTGGAACGGTCAAGTTGACTGGTTTGGACGGTAGACGCATCCGTATGGTGGACGTGCTCCACATCCCCGGGCTCGATAGACGCTTATTGTCAGTCGGGAAGCTCGCGGAACGCGGTATGAGTGTGGAGTTCTAGCGTTCCAGTTGTGTAATTTGGGGACGGAACGCTGCAATAGCGTCAGGGAAGAAGGTCGGTAAGGCGTTCATTTTGGACTGTCAGCAGGAGGAGGCCCGTTTCGTGGAATACGCCGGTCCTGACAGCGAGTGGGAGCTTTGGCACGCTCGCATGGGTCACCCCAACAAGGACGCACTGACGAAGACCCAGCGTTCCACGACCGGTATCCCGCCAGTAAGAAGGGGGCGCGAGACTTTGTGCGGTGGATGCATGGAGGGAAAGCAGACCGTGACAGCGTTCCCGTCACGATCACTGACGAAGACAACGCGTGTGTTGGAACTAGTACACACGGACGTTATGGGACCAATGAGAACGCTCTCAAAGGGGGGTGCCAAGTACGTGCTGACCTTTGTAGACGACTACTCAAGATATGTTGTGACATTCTTCATGAAGAGCAAGAGTGAGGTGGGCAGCAAGCTGAAGGAGTTCAAGGTGCTGTATGAAAATCAGTGGGGGAAACGATTGAAGTGCCTGCGTTCCGATAATGGAACGGAGTTTGTAAACAAGACGGTATTGGAACTCTGCCAGCGGAATGGCATCGTGCATCAACGCAGCGTTCCATACAGCCCTCAGCAAAACGGTGTTGCGGAACGCATGAACCGTACCATCATGGAGAAGGCACGAAGCATGCTACACTACAAGTCTATGTCGACGGAGTGGTGGGCTGAAGCGGTGAGTACTGCAGTGTACCTTATCAACCGTTCCACGAACACATCCAACTCGGATGTCACGCCATATGAGCTGGCGTTCCAAGTGAAGCCACGGATGGAACACCTACGCGTGTTTGGATCACAAGGGTACGCTCACGTGGATGACGTGAAGAGAACGAAATTGGAACCCAAGAGTTTCAGGTGCACGTTCCTCGGATACGCAGAGAACGTAAAAGGGTATCGTGTCTACGACTTGGATGCATCCAAGGTCAAGGTGTCACGATCGGTAAAGCTGGACGAGCGTGAGGTGGGCGGTATCTATGACACGCCGTCGCCAGCTTCTGGAACGATCATCCATGTGACAAGGAACAATGACGATACCGTGGTTCCAACTCCAGAAGTGGAACGACAGTCTGTTCAAGATGAACCGATGGGAGAAGCGGAGAACCTGCTCAAGACATTGAGATGGACGATGTTGAACCGGAACGGAACGCCCGGCTACCACAGCTACCCGCACCGGAGGAACGCCGTTCGAGTGGACTGGAGCTGGCAACGTACCGCTCACAACCTCCTGCGTTCCAAGAGGACCGGATAATCTTCCATCCTGAAACGGAACGCTCAACCCGACCTCGGTAACCGGTGTTTCTGCTTGGGAACGGCTACGATGACGATGTGGAACGCCAGTCTGAAAGAGGTAGTGATGGACCGCCGTCTCCTAAGCGTCCTAGGATCGATGAAGACTGTTTACTCGCAGAGGCAGTGCTGGCATACGCGGCCAGCATCGGAGGCGTCCCGGATACGCCGAACACGTACGCAGAAAGCTATCGCCAGTGATGAAGCAGCTGAATGACGTCGGGCTATGAAAGGCTGAGTTACACTCTCATTCCCAGAACGGAACGTGGACGTTGGTTCCATGTGGAACGGCTACGCGTTCCATTGGATGTCGCTGGGTTTTTACCAAGAAGCGTGACGAGAACGGTCGTGTTATCCGTTACAAGGCACGCCTAGTAGCTCAAGGGTTCAAGCAGAAGTTTGGAATCGATTTTTTGAGACGTATTCTCCTGTTGCAAACATGAACTCGATTCGAGTTGTACTCGCTGTGTGTGTGGCATGCGACTACATTATGGAGCAACTGGATGCTGACACAGCGTTCCTAAACAGTGGTTTGGTGGATTTGGTCTACATGGACGTTCCACTAGGTCTCGAGAACGCTGAACGCATGAAGTGCAAGCTGCTAAAGGCCATATATGGTTTGAAGCAAGCTGCAAGTGCATGGAACAAGACTATCCATCGTGTGTTCCTGCGGAACGGTTTCAAGAGTTGTGGAGCCGACCAGTGTGTCTACGTCAAGCGTTCCAGGGACGCATTCGTGTACGTGTGCCTGTATGTGGACGACATGATCATTGCGGCGAAGACACGCGAAGAGATTCGCGAAGTAAAGGGCGCTCTGAAGAGTGCCTTCAAGATGAAAGAGCTTGGCGAGGCAAAGTTCATCCTGGGGATGGAGATTGATCATGATAAGGCAGCTGGAACGCTGATGATCAAGCAAACTCGGTACATTGACGACATTGTAGAACGCTTCAACCAACGGAACGCCAAGATGTTGGATAACCCATGCGCGTCCAACATGAAGCTGTCGAAGATGATGTCGCCAGCCACGGAGAAGGAACGACGTGAAATGCAGTCAAGACCGTACCGTTCCTTGATCGGATGCCTGATGTACATCACAACATGCACTCGACCGGACATTGCGTACGTTGTAACGCAGCTGTCACGCTTCCTGGAAAATCCTGGAACGCAACACTGGAAGGCAGCGATACGGGTCCTGCAATACTTAAAGACAACTCGGCAGCACGGTATCGTCTACCAAAGTGGAACGCAAGGTGTCAAGGCAGAGGCGTTCACGGACGCAGACTGGGGAAGCAACATTGACGACAGGCGTTCCGTATCAGGTGTCATGGTCATGATTGGGAACGCTCCGGTTGTGTTCAAGTCCAAGTACCAGAGAGCGGTTGCACTCAGCTCAGCGGAAGCAGAGTACATGGCTCTGAGTCTGTGTACGCAAGAGGTACTATGGACACGTGCTATTCTCAAGGACATGGGTCACGAGCAAGTGGGAGCGACGCAGGTCTGGGAGGACAATCAAGGTGCTATCGCACTTGCAAGTAACGCTGGGTATCACGCTAGGACCAAGCACGTGGATATTCGACATCACTTCATTCGGGAGAATGTGGAACGCTCTACGATCAAGGTGGACTACGTCGACACGAAGCGCCAACTTGCGGACATGCTGACGAAGCCGCTTGGAACGAAGTCGCTAGCGTTCCTTCGCGAGGCAAGCGGGATCAAGAAGAGGAACGCCGCTGAGTAGCGATCCTTAACGAAGACGAACGTCGTGCAGTAGCGGTGAGTGGGAGTGTTAATTCACACCGACTCTGCACGGTTCAATTAACCGGCTGAACGTTCCAGGATGGACCGGTCCCAAACCGGTTAATCTGGTGGATGGCCAGGAGCACTGAAGTTTAGAGGACAGATTTAATTGACTTTAATCTACTCACTTCGGCATTTACCGTTAACAACAACAACAAGGACGCACCAGGCGCCCTTATGCCACGAAAGGGTTCAGGCGGAAAACGGATGTACCTCTCAGCGCGTGAGTAGCTGGTCGAGCACCGTCGGCAATAGAGAAAAATAGAGGTTAGAAAGTTTTTACCACAATGAGCAAGCAGCAGGCAACACGCCTTTGCATTGATGGTGGGAAGAATCTTACGATTGGGGATTCTGCTTGCTGTCTGCGACCGTAGCAGACCTGTCATGCCTATATTTTTGACCAATCAGCAGATTCTGCCTTACGCTGGCTTCGAAGCAGCAACTAGTACATGTATTTCGATTGAGCTGCTAAATTAAGGCCCGTTCTCAACCGAAGCGTTTTTCTTGACGCATGCGTTGCACGCGTACCCTACCCCGTGTGCTGGGCTGTGAATAAAACTGAGCGACATTTATTGGTGCAGCAAAAACAAATATTGGCCAGTAAAATACGTTGTTTATGCTGTAGATCCGCGTTTCCCCCTTCCAACAAAACAATGGAAGCTGAGAAGGACCCGAATCGAGAGGTTCCAGTGGCTCGCCGTCTCGCGGCGGAGCTTGCTACGGTGGCACCTTCAATTACAGCATTACCAACCAATGGGGTGGTCGCTGCCACAATTCACGGTAACCGCTCTAATTACGTTATGGAAAACGCTGAGTCCGATGCCCTATCTTCCGTTTGTTCAGCTTCAAGCGATTCCCACGCAGCACAAATAAGGGCGAGAGATGCAGAAAGGATTGATACGGTCCCTACCATTCTAAGTGGCTCACTAACTGAAGGACATTTTGCCTGGGAGCCGTACGAGAAAATGCCACAGGATCTTATTCGCAAGGAATGCACCATACGAGAGATCAAGCTTAACACGCGGACAAACAAGGCCGATCGCATAAAGTGCCTCCACCGGTTTGATGAGCTGGTAAACAGGGGCGAAGACCCTACATCTGCATCGACAATGGCTGCTGGCAACACCCGTCGTACCAGGCACTGCATGTTCCGCTTAGCGAATGTCGTGCTGTCCAAGGATATGGTGACAAGACTTGTTGAGGTTACGGGTATGTATCATGTTGGATATATTTGCCATGCAATTGACTATTTTGCTGTATTTGAAGAAAAGAACGTTGATCGAGCTGATTTAGACGACCCCCAGTTTTCTGAGAAAGCTCTTTTCTGGCGCGATGTTGAAACAGCGTACAAAGAGAACGACGAGGAGTATAGTGGACTGATCGCTGACGATGTCGACTTCGTGGGAATCACCCCGGAAACCATTGTACCGCAAAATGCCGCAAAGTTGGAAGAGCTTTGGAGGGAGCTGACGTCCTTCTTCAGTATCTCCAAAGCCAACTTTCGTCTATCCGGGACCTACAATCAGGAATTCAAGAAGTTTACGCATGGCAAAGTCGATGTGCTTTATTTGTGTTACTGGACCAAGGTAGAAGTTTGGGCTTTAGTTTGTTTGCTGTCATACGTTGTATAACATAAGCGATTTATAAAATTACTGTAGCTTCGACCGGAAGAACTGAGCTGCGTTCGTGGCAATATGTACGAGGAGGATGAGTTTGATTCGCTCTCCACTTTCGCATTCACCCCAATGCGAGAGCGTCGTGCCACGCCAAGTCAGCGCGGTGGCAACCGAAAACGCAATGTGCGCTCACCCACCAAAACCACACCGAACAAGAAGTAAAAATCTGAAGCTGAAGCAATGAATGCTCTCGTTACGCTTGTTGGAAGAATTGCAGCGGTGCGGGAAGCTGAGGTCGCTCTTGTAAGGGAGCAAGAACAAGAAGCTTCGATGCGAGTGCGCGGCGAGCAGCATAAAATGCTCGACGACATTCGCAAGCGCATTAGTGCGATTGAGTGCGAAATGAACTCCGCCGCCAGTCCTATAAAGCTACGGTTGCAAGGAGATTTGGACTTCTTTCTGCAGGAGCGACAGCGGATCATGGACAGTGTCCGCTCTCGTGCTGGCTAACAGCAAGAAGCAACAGCGCCGTCAGATCGGCTTGGTGACAATAATCCATAATACGGAAAATGTGTTTCAGGAAGTGCCTTTTGATGGAACTGATCGCATTTACAACTGCATTATGCGTTGTATATGTCGGTGTAGATTCACGCTGCAGACAGCTATCGTACGCGCATTTGTAGTTTATAGGATTCACTCGACGTCGCTGCATTCATCCAGTAGGTCAATCACATTAGCACGGTCCACGCAGCCTGATCACGCTGCTGGTCATTCTCATGGGATAGAGTCGCTTCGTTCTGATCCGAGTTGTCCAGCTCAGCCTCATCGTTATTGTAGGCGACATTGAACATTGGGCCAGAAATTGTAACCCATACTATACAGACTGTAAAAAATCTAATAATTGTCTGTTTGATATAAATAAAAGTGCTATATATAACTTAGTGTCTTGAGAGGGCGGTAGAACTCATCAATTAGCCAGAGGCATCCTTTAAGGTCAGCGAAAATGTCCGACAAGCACGAGTTCTGCCCAGGAGAGAAGCGGATGATTGTGAACAGCTACGAGTATTTCAAAAGCCAGAAGGAACAAGGCCTCTTCAAAGGCATCAGGACACGCCAACTGGTCTCTAATTGCCTTGGTTGTGCCCTCAACACCGTTGACTCCGTGGTTAATGAGAAAAAGAATAACCCAGACACTGATTTTGAGGTATATCAATTATAACTGATATTGTAACATTTCCTTTTTAAACTAATATTTGTACAAAGCCCAGTGAAAACGACAGAGGTCGAAAGCGAGATTATGACCTGACGGATATCGAGCCTACAATCCGTCAATTCATCGAACGAGAAAATAAAGCTGTTAGACCAACTACAGCTACTCGCATTAGCCCCCATCTGCAAGAAGTGACAGGGACCCATCTTGCTGATCGTACAATGCAACGAGTTTTATGCGAGCTAGGTTTTCGCTACGTGAAAGGTGAAAACAGGCACATGTACGCAGATTCCGAAGCAAATGTTGCTTTTCGTAACGAGTATCTAAGGAAAAAAAAATGCGAATCGAGTCGGTGACGCAGTTGATCGACCAGAAGTTTATTTGGACGAATCATTCTGCAATGCAAATCATGTTAGCGGCCAGACGTGGCTCTCGTCAGATAATATGACGTTGGAGGATAATTATGGTGGCTGTAACATCCACATGGATGGCGCCGGGTATCACAAGCGGATGATCGACACGTGCAGAAGATCGAGGACCAGTTCGTCGCTCTTCAGAAGGAATTAGAACAGTAGATGATAAAAACAAAACAAAATCCATGTACCTTTATAATTGTTTTCACCATCCTGCTGGCAGAATTGAATGTTAAATCGACAAGGGCAATCTGCGACCGGGCGATGTGTCATCTTCCTTTTTGACATATGATTTTGATTCTAGACCAATCATATCGTGTATTTGGCGCGCCTTTCCCCCGAAAATGACAGTGTTCTGAGAAGGCATTATTAAACGACTGGGAATTGGCTAAAAATTACCACAAAATCGAAATCTAAACGCATGATTGCACCCTATATCTAAATGTCGATATAGGTTTTCCTAAATGTAGACCTCTTATGCCTCTCTAGATTCTGGCTGAATGTTCAATGTCGCCTACAATACTCCTAGTTTCATCGTTAAAATTTGCATCACTGTCTTTTCCTGGTCAGTGCGGCGAGTTCGTCACCAGGACGCTCTCTCCAGCTCAAGCAGCTGACCACGATTTGTCCACGTACGCACAGCACTCACGCCACACCAATCTATTTTCACAAACGAAACGTTGCGGTGTGTGCCACTGCCGAGCACCACGATGGCCTCCTCGCTCGTCGGGATGTCGTCCTCCAAGTCGCCGTACGTCATGTGCAGGTAGTTCGTCGGGGACAGCAGCTCAGCCGCCAGCGTGTCGATCCCCCTCCACACACACACACACACCGCTTACGACGCTCACACACCAGCATGGCCGTGGCGCTGGGCAGCACGTCGGCGATCTGACGGTCAGCGAAACCGTTCGCCCCGCATGGCCAGATTGAGGTTAGGCATCGAACTTCTCCATCCGGACACCGTGATACAGATGTCCTTGGCGTCACGCACAACCCTGTACTCGACTTCCTTCCAGCCGCGGAGGTCCTGATTGATCGGAATCTGCTTGGTCTGACCCTTCCACGCGGGGCCGTTGCGTGTACGCGCTTTCTGTCAGCACACGCAGCTCCGCCAAGCTGGCAGCGAAACCGATCCCAGACTCTGAAAGCAAAAGACGAACGCACCAGCGTAGCCTATATCTTTGGCAGCCTTCAGCGCGCCTTCGACGGCCAAGACCGACTGACGCAGAGCAATCGTCTTGCGACGCTCCAATAGCTTGGCCGAGAGCTTCTCACGATCCCCCGTTTCGATGATCGACTCGATCAACGTGCCCATGACGCGGGCGTTGTGAAGTTTTAGGTCGCCGTTCAGGTACAGTTCAATACCGACGGACAAGGCCGTCTGGTCACCCACACTCACCAGTACTCCAACCGGCTACTCCTTCGTGATGATCTCCAGCATTGCCTCGGCACGCGCCCGCACGAAGTGGCCGTTGTCGACCAGAACCTGAGATGGCTGCACCGTTGCAATGTACGACGTAAGCGCCTTCCTCACCACAGCATCGATGACCTGCAAGCTAGAGTAGTCGAACTCACCAGCCTGACAGATCAACAGACCACCAGAACGGAACGCTGGGTGGTCGTGTCCATGAATGTGCACATAGGAGGAGCGCTGTTGACATTCTCCAAGAGCATGCCGACGAGGAAGCCCGTGCTCGTGGGAGCACCACATGCCTCCAGGTGGAACTGCACCGAGAAAAAAACTTGTGTTCGTGGATAATACCCTTGTTCGACTTGTCGTTGGCGCTAATTAAGAGGGCCTTTCAGCCCTCAGACAGAGTGCTCGAGTCCACAGAGTATTCGTGGTTCTGCGGCGTGACGCAGCAGCGTGTGGAGCGAATGTCGATGCCGGACTGGTCCATACCGCAATTACCGTACTTCAACTTGTCCCTGGTGACATCTATTAATAATCCGATGATGAACTCATCTTGTTACACCACTTGCCACTGCAAGATACTAGCTGTGCCACGTGCATCATCATTTGTGTTATCTTGATCAGGTCGAGAGGGCCCTGGTGCTGATGAAACACTGATAACTTCTGCTTCCGTCGGTACTTGTTGGGCAGTGGTCATTACTGCATTAATACGGCCTTCATTTCTCAGTAAATTTCGCTGCGGACGATGCAAATTATGTCTTGAAATGCGATTGACTAATTTAGATCGAACCCTTTCGTCCAGCAAATCGACGTGGCTGCCATTTTCTAACTCAACTTCCTACGAATCGTAGGTGAGTGGCTCCTGATCATTCCACGACCTTACTTCCCGAACTATTGCCCCCAAGACTTGATCAGGTGGTTTGGCTGAAGATGCACAACGCTGAGTAATGCAGAAATTGTGTAGCCTCATACATGATGATACAATAACGCGACAATGGCGAAGGCGAACATGAAGTGGCTGCTTTAGAATTCTCCACTTGTTCACGAAAAGTCCAAAAGCCATTTCGATACGAATTCGTAGCTGGCTTATATTAAAATCGTAGCTGTCACGGTCTCGGCTGTCTACCAGCTGCGTCTTATTAAAAGGAGTCATTACACGCTAACTTTGGACATAAGCATTATCGCCGATGGCGACGTAGTTGCCTGAGACTTCTTGTAGAATATTGCTTAGTTGCCAACGCTGGAAAGTGTACAAATCATTCATTCCACCAGGTGAGTTGATCGAAAACGCAGTAAGCGAGAAAGAGAGTCGGCACAAGCTTGGATATTCAGTCCATATTTCTGATATTGTCCGGAGAAAAACGATAGTACGCGACCGCACTCATCTTGACGAGGGACGCGTATTGGGCAAAGCCACCCGTCAATCACACCAATGCAATCATCAATAACACCTCGATTACTGAGAGACTGAAATTCGCTCGCAACTCGTTTCATATCATCCTGCGCTTTTAAAAACTGAGGCGCTAGAGCGTCAGTATCGTTGATAGCGTACATCACACGATACACAACACGGTAGAATATAGCAGTACTACAACCGGTAATGACACGGATGTGGTGATGGCTCCCCCCTGCTAGCCATGAGAGCGCGCATTGTAGCATTGCAGCTGGTGTGAGTGGAGGGACACCGCGAGAGCGGCGTAGCGACTGGAAATAGTCGACTACCAAATAGGGTCCCACAGTACATAGTAATTCCTGGAAAGTAGACAAGCTTATCCTGTAGTACTTCTCGAATGCAGACTCTTTCAAAAGCGTGGTGGCATGGATTCACCATGAAATGCGTTCACGAACAACAGGATCTACCTTCCTATGTGATCGATAGCGCTTGAAGACAGCCATGCAGACGAGAAGACCGCACAAGGTGTCGTCGTCTTTCCACCGACGCCGTTGTCGAGCTGTAGGGACGTACCGCTGCTGCGAAATACGGTGGGGACGAAATGAGATACGCGTCATGTCGATGGGAGCGGGACAAGTGGCATCTGAATTTCGAGCTTAGCGGTAATACGTAAGAAATAAAAGCTACACGTTACTGGTCCAAATCGGAAAACGCATGCGTGTGGATTCTAATATGGGCGCCTTTTTTGCCATACCCATCTAGCTAATCAAATCCCAAAGTGTTCGAAAACGCATGCGTTGAGAACGGGCCTTAGACAGATTTATTGAAATTACTACTACGTAGTATTTTTAAAAGGAAATTACGTTTTTTCAACTCTAACACTTATTGAATCGTTATTAAACCCAAATAAAGTTTCACTTTAGTAAATAACCCAATATTCCTGTTCACTGGGTGGAATTCCATTTGAAGATCATGGTGCTCTCTCGCTTGGTGTTGCTCTGCTGTGCGCTGTCCGCTGGTAGCGCAGCTGCGCCCTTCGACTTCCCCGACCTGACAAGCTACAGCCAGCCATGTGAGCCCTTCACGTGCCGCCCTAAGCGAGCAGCAGCCCCCGTCAAGTGAGCCCCCCCCCCCCCCCTGAGCATTAAAATGGAAACATGCGCTCTAACTTGTCTCTTCATCCTCTTCAGGGACTTTGAATTCACAGCAAATGGCTGTGGTACCTCCGGCATGCCTATTTCCACTTCAACGGACTTCCAGGAATGCTGCGACTGGCATGATGCGGTACGAGACTGTCGTCGTGGCTGTCGTGATTATTATTTATTGACTATTTGATGCAGTGCTACAGCGTATGTGGCATGCCCAAGGCCAACTGCGAGAAACGCCTGCAAAAGTGCATGAAAGCGAGGTGCAAGGCCATCCGGGACCCCAACAAGCGCGAAGAGTGCTTCTCGACCGCCAAGATCTTCTACATCGGCGCCAATGTACGGCCATTCACATTGCGCTGTTTGTATACAATACCTGACGGATTTTCTGTGGCTAGATGATCGCGTGTCCGGCGTACCAGGACGCGCAGAAGGAGGCGTGCGACTGTGTGCCAACTGAGGACGCCGCTGCCGCCACGCGTGATCGTCTGGAGTATTTCCTCGAGCAGAACGGCGCGCCGGAAGAAGAACTGGAGGACGAGGCCATCGACACGTTGCTGAAGAAGTACAAGGGCCAGGAGCCCACCATGTTCCTACGGGTCCTTAAGAAATACCCCAAGGCGCTTAAGACGGACCCGAAAAAGACCAACTTCATGGACGATATCGTCAAAAGTGCCGATAAGGATCTGAAGAAGAAGAAACGTAAGGCTGTCGAGAAGGACGTGCCTGTGGACGAGCACGAGGAGCTGTAGACCATAGGAGCTCCAAAATACACCATGTCTTGAGCAAAAAAAAGACATATCTTTTACTTTTTAGGACGTGGGGTCTTCTACGATGTCGCTGACGTATTCTGGTCTGCAGATGTTGATGCCGTACTCCTTGAGACTAGCCGCCAAGTCCTCCATCGTCAGTACAGAGCGAGTGCCAGTGGGCGCAGTACCTTCGGGGCTCTGTACGGCCCCTAGCGCTGCCGACGCAGCACCCGTAGCTGTAGACGACGTGGCCTGTGAGCGTATACGCTGGTACTGCATAGCGTCGTGTGTCACGTCCAGCAGGAGCTTGTGTGCTGCCAGCGAAATCATCCGCGTCCTGTTCGGAATAAACGTTGGTCCTTAATACGTTGCTTTCGATGCCACTTACTGGGATATCACGTACACTCGCACGTCGTTGGTGGCGAACCCTGATTGCTGCAGATAAAACTCCACCAGCTCGTCCGGGATCGTCGGCGAGTACTGCGTCATGGCCGCCAAGAAGGCATCGAGCTGCGCCGCCTCCGACATGATCGAAACTGTGATAAATTGAGTCGCGTATAATAAATAAAAATAGTCCAGACAAAAATGTGCATGCAATTGCACCAAATTGTACACACATCATGGAGGATAGTCGTCTACACGTCTTCACTTATCGATCCCTCCCCTCGTGTGAATAATGTCGTCGTGCACCGAAGTCCAAGTTCTACAATGTAGAGAACGTGTGGATCCCCGTGGATGCCGAAACGCGCTTGTCGGCGCGGATCTGGCTGCCCAAGTCGTCCACTGCCAAATTTTCGGTGGTGCTCGAGTACATTCCGTACCGGAAATCAGACTGGACGGCCACTCGGGATGCGAGTAATCACGTGTGGCTGGCCCAACGGGGATTCGCAGTGGCAAGAGTCGATATTCGAGGTTCCGGCAACAGTGAAGGTCACTTTTACGGTGAATACACTCCCCAAGAACTTCAAGACGGAGTGATGGTCATTGAGTGGCTCGCCAGTCAAAGTTGGTGTTCTGGTAGTGTGGGTGTGTTTGGCAAAAGCTGGGGTGGGTTCAATGGACTGCAATTGGCAGCCATGGCCCCACCTGCTCTACGTGGAGTAGTATCACTCTACTCAATTGACGACCGGTATGCAGACGACGTGCACTACATGGGGGGCGCAGTATTGGGGTCTGAAGCCTTGAGTTGGGCCACCGTTATGTTCAGCTTGAACGCACTACCGATGGCTCCGGAAACGGTAGGGTCGGAGGTAGCATGGGAAGCGACGATACCAAGAAAGACTGGAGAAGCAGTTCCCGTGGCTACACGAGTGGCTAGCGCAACAAACTCGAGATGAAATTTTGGGAACATGGCTCCATTTTGTGAGGACCTACGAACAAGGTCAAGTGTCCGGTATTGGAGATCGGAGGCTGGAATGATGGTTATTTCAACGGTGTGGCGCGGATGATCAAAGGGATGAAGAATTCTCCGAGTAAAGGCGTGGTTGGGCCGTGGAGTCACAACTGGCCGAATAGTGCCACTCCTGGACCGCAAGTGGGTTTTTTAGAACTGTGTCGACAGTGGTGGGAGTACTCATTAAATGATAAAACGGACAATTTAGCTACCGGATTTCCAGACCTGCAGTTGTTCGTCAAAGACGAGATCGAGAACCCGACGGCGAGGATTCTTGAGTATCCAGGCAAATGGTGTGGCGTGGACGATGTTGAGAAGCTAGAGCAGAAGTTTGTGACGTTCTACTGCTCGAGTGGAGATGGCTACAAACTGCAGACTACGGCGGAGCCACCCAGTACTCGTGAGCGTGTGATAGCGTTTAATAGTTTGCAAGGTGCGTGGAGTGGCGAGTGGCTGTCGTTTGGCGGTGAAGATATGCCCGGTAATCAATTAAATGAGGATGCAATCGCTACCACGTGGACTACTGGTCCACTAAATGAGGATATCGAGATCATTGGACGTCCTCAAATAAGTGTATTCGTCAAGTCGAGCAAGCCGCAGGCCCTCATCATGGCGCGTTTTAGTGACGTTTCTCCCTCTGGAAAGTCGACTCTGATCACGCGTGGTGTGCTCAATTTGAGCCACCGTCATGGCCACAAGCTCGACGAGCTAAGCCACATGCCTATTGGCGAGAATACTCGAGTCACGTGGCAACTCAATGCGTGCGCATACACTCTACGTGCAAGCCACACTCTGGTGCTGTCCGTCACACCCAATTACTGGCCGATGGTCTGGCCGTCGCCCGAGCCAGTGGAGCTGTCAGTTTCCTTTGCTGAATCGAATCTGCTCAAGCTTCCTGTGCTACCTGAAGGTCCTACTCCTGTTGAGAACGCAGCGAGTTGCCCTGTGAAAGATTATCCTCTGGATGCTGGAGCACCATCACGCACTATTTCACTGAGAGAGGCTCCTTGTAGTCAACGAAGACCAAGGCAAAGATTTGCTTGTTGACGAAGGAATTGTTATGGAAGAAACAGCGATTAAGACGTACACGACCGACCCTCAATGTCTCCACCCGCGTGTCAGTATTCAGCGCACTCTTACGTACGAGAAACTGACTTCAAGTGAGCATAGTGAGCTGCTTGACAAGTTCGCCGACCAGATGACTGCCGCTACGCATGTCAACGATCTGAAGCTGGAGCGGGTCGATTATGCAGAGCACCCGGTACTACCGTGGAAGGTTCGCGTCGAGACAGACAGCTCCATGGCTTCAGATGAGACGACGTTCTTCCTCAAAGATCACATGATCGTCCGTCTGAATGAAGAGGTTTTCTTTGAAAAGACGTGGGAGAAGGAGATCCCGCGCCAGTTTGTGTAGCTTTTCCAGCAATACGCAACCCAGAATTGCACGAGCCGAAAAAAAGTGATTCATTTTTTTATTAAAAAAAATACCGAAGCTAAGGTACCGGTAAGACAAACGTTATTGGTACTACTTATTAATATCAGTATTTTTTTTAAAGTTTATATAAATTACTCACTCATTAAATACTCACTCATTTAAAAATGAGTGAGTAAAAAACATTTACAATATTGTGCGTTCTATTCGAAATTTCCGCGGGCGTCTGAGAGACACGACCAGCCCAATCGCGCACCCAATCGTGTAGCCTAGCATACAGAATGCGTTTTAACGCTAATACAGAATAATCCTCTGACTCGCCATCTTCATTCATGACAAGTGCGCGGAGTCTTCAGTGCGAGATTTTAACTTCAACGTGTTTCTGGTATCTTATTGGATAATAAAAAAGGTTTTCTTAATTTTGACCTCTAACAACGCAGCGTCGATTCGCCGTTCGCTTCGCGCCTTTCTCCGAATCGTCCCGCTTCGGCAAATTGGCCCCTTTCAGCAAAAATATAACCTGGAACCTGAAAAAAAAAGTTCCAAGCTTTGTTTTTCCCATGCGTTCAGCAAATCTTCCCCTGGAGGTGCTGCGTGCTCTCCACAATCATTCTGGCTATATATTCTAAGAGGTCGCGGCCCATGAACGTCGGACTGCTGCTAATGCTTCTCTTGGAGGGGATTCCTCCTCCAGCTGGCATGGGCGGACAAGCAAGACACCTCATCCAGCAAGCGTACCAAGCAGAACTCGATGTGATAGCCGAAGTAGCAGCTCCAAAGGATCGGGAGATTCTCGCGAAGCAGCGCAGCTCACACTGGGCTAAGATGTTGTTCTCTTCGCGCATCTACTTCGATGGATCGATGAGTAACCTATTTCGCATGGATAGCTCTACAATTGGCGCTTTGATACGGACTGTGACCCCCCATCTCACAACAGGAAGAATGGAACCAGATGCTGTGTTGCCTCCAGTGAGAGTAGCTGTCTTCTTGTATCTATGTGCTCAGGGCACATCGCTGGAAGCCACAGCAGATCGTATCGATGAAGAAGAAGTAAAGAGTATATTGCAGGAGTACGAAAGAAAATTCCCACAGCCTCAAACGGAGCTCGAGCCAGCTATGACTAACAACCTACGAGAAAAACTAAAGCAGTGGTGGGCATTTCGTCGCTCGTAACGTGGCAAAATGCGTTAGAGCTTGTCCAAGAAAGCTCGCAATAGCGTCATGTGCTCATCATGTTGCTGGCGGCGCTGGCTTAGCTCTTCTGCGTGCAATAGACGTGCTCCGCAGAGCCCAGGGGCTCTGCCTCGGGCTCTCCGCTATCCATGCGCAGGCTGAAGGGGGGGAGTGAAAATGAGTGCCACGGAGAATCTATCCAGTCTCACAAGTTCCACGTTTCAGGGACCTCTTCCGCTCCCTAAAACTTTGGCACTGAACCGAGGTTTACTTGGAACTTTTAGTGACTTTTTTTGCGGTTGGAGGAGAAAAAAGTGGTATGCTGAAAGTGTTTTCCCTCGAACCTAGAAAAAAACTTCCAGGTTAGAGGTTCCAACGTTTTGCTGAAAGGGGCCATTGGCCCCTTTCAGCATTGGGGCGGAATTGACAATATAGTACAGAAATCTGCCTGAATAAGGAACGGGGTTTCAATGAATAACCTCGCAATTTTTATAGTCGGGAAAGATTTAGGGAGATGGGATAGTGATGGGCAAGGTACTGACAACAATCCAGGCACTGACTTTGATTTCAATTTAAAAAATGGCGCGCAGTAGATGATCCTCCTTCGCTTCAAGCCCTACGAGCCGAACTTCATTCCTACATTTACATTCAAGCTCTCTAGCCGACTGCGTCCACTAAGCAATGTCCGTGTTGAGAAGCTATCCCCGAACACCACCGCCAAGATCCAGCCGCTGGATCAGGATCATCATCAGCATTAAAGCTACATCTTATCGCAAAAAACTGATGTTCGCATTGGATCACCTAGGCGAAGGTCTCGATAACTCGTACAACGTCGACCAGCTAACTGCACTGCTCTGGTGCGAGGCTGCATGGTCTAAAGTTAGCGCTTCCACGATTCAGCACTGCTGGAATCTTCAATTATCCTAACATAATTCAATACATGCACATGATAGTCTGTTCTTAGCGAGGCATTGTCAGCTTATGCAATCTCTTTCTTAATTTATATCAGGCGTTCCTTATTCAGGTACATGTATTTCGTTTTGGCTACCGGAACATCACCCCGATCTACAGGTACAGTAGTAAACTCAGCACAGTACGTCAACTTTCAGGCTGCATGCGTACTGTATGAGCGACAGGTGGTGTAACACTTTTGTAACATGAATACTGTCTCGTTGCCGCTTTGATGTGGCCATTTTTTTTGAAGATGAGAGCGATTATGAGGAGGTACGCTGACGTTGCCTTCAACTGAGTCAGTTGAACTGACCTCGGCTACGAAGTCAGCTGGAGACTGTAGGAAAGAGATTTCAGGGTCGGAATCCTGCCGTGGCCGTTCATAGGCGGTAAAGCTGTCGCAAGTTAGCACGCAAGGTAGCATTCGATATCTACGAAAAATGAAGATCATCTTGGTTTTTTCAAGATGACCCATGCACCACTAGATCTATTATAATGGGAGTGCCGCCATCTGCTGCAGGACAAGGTCAAACTGTCAACTAGTTGCACCGCACGCCAGCATCAGTAACCATTTCGTGTCGACGATCAACACGCGAGTACCGAGGGGCTCTTCTCGTTGACATCAAGTCAAGCACAGCACTGGGTCGCCCAGCACGACCACCACTTGGCAATTCGCCGTCGACCCCAAAGCACAGCGTAACGATGAGTAGTCGAAGTCTGAATGATCCGTTGAGCTCGAAAGATCCATGGGCTCCATATACCCCGGACAACCAACCGGATAGTCGATACACGGTGTCCGAAGCTGAATCCAGTGTCACCGAGTCCGGAACCCGTTCCGTAATGTTCGGGAATGACGCCAATGGTTTGGTAATTCGCAGTACCAAAGACTGTCGATAGACGTTAGTGTTCTCGGATCAGGAGATCTGTGATGATATTTTGGCAACGATCGTAAAACTGCACTCGGCCGTGATCAACGGGGTCAAAGGCGGTCGATAGAAGCAGCGTAATGTCAAAGGAGGCGTGCAACTAAGCGAAATGGAGCCCAATTACTCGCCCGTCGACCCTGACGATGATCTCGATATTCTTCACGAAACGGTGGCAGCAACGGAGCTCCGCTGTCACTTAAACGAGGCACTGAGTGTGTTGCTGCATCAAGACTCGAACGCGTATGATACAACGATGAAAGCTTTGTACGGCAAGAGGTTTAAGAAGGGCGAAGTACTGTTCCGCCAACGCGTGGCGTTCGACACTAACTCGCAGGAGCAAGCTCGTGTTCCCGTGAAAGATGGAAACGACGAGACACCGCAGAAAGACGTCATCACTGTCGCGTCGGCCACGTTACGTCCTAGCGCTGGTTTGCTACTACCCTCTCGTCATAGACACACGCAACAACTCTTGTTCTCGACCTGTACGCACCAGTATCCAGACAAGAAACGCGCCGTGCACGTGATGAAGACAGTGCCCAAATCTGTCCACGACCAGGTGCTTCCTAGCTCGAACCGCTCTTCGCTGCGCCGTCAACTCGATCACATTGCTGTCGGGTTTGATCTGCAGCTCACGCCACGTCCTGGAGGTAGTAGTCGCCAGATGACGCGCATTTTTGCCCATGCGTACGCCTCGGACCGGCCGTCATCGGCCTTCCGAGAGGAAACCGGCGAGAACCGGGCAGCGTCCGTAGCCAAGAAGCGTGAGGCGGCTGCGAGAATTCACGCGTCCGACTTGAGCCGCCGCCGTACAGCACTGATGAACCCGGAGGCGCGTCATGTGATGAGGGTGTTGACCGAGTCGGTCGCGCAGTTTGAACGGGTGATCCGTCGCCGGCGGTTTGGCTTCCAGTCTTTCATCTATTTCCCCAAGGAATACGCAGACCCGTTTCGGGAGAAACGCTGCTCGATCTGCAGCAAGAGCTTCCACTTTTTCCGTCGTGACTTCTACTGCCAGCTCTGCGGCCACATGGTATGTGGAGACTGCTCTCAGCTGTACGAGGTGGAAGCTCGTATCGGAGAAGTTCGTAAGAACCGCTGCTGTGTTCGGTGCGTCGTACGTGTTGACTCCTGTAAGTTCGACGACGAAGATCTGCTGCCTGATTTGGGTCCAATCCTCGTCGAAGCGCCTCCCGACGTCTGGGAGAGCTTGGGCTCGAACGGTAATGTAGACGACACGTCTTCTGAGTCTGATATGGACGATCTACCCGGTCAGCTTTGTTTTGAAGATCCGGAGACACGCATTCGGGCACTGGAGATGCTTGGTCGAGTTGTAGGAAGCCCAGCAAGCTCTTATTCTTCCTCGGACTCGAGCCGTAAGCTCGTGAAACTATCTAGTAATGGATGCATTCGAAGCCACAAGAAGCAGAGTAAGAAAACTACCAAAACGCAGTCTCAACGCGTGCGGAAGCGTGTGGAGAACCACGTGACCCACGAGCTGGCCAGGTCACGGCTCAAATACACCGTTGATGCCTGTGACGTAAGCGATCGCACCAGAGACTACAAGTACGAGTTCGATAGCTCCAAAGTCACGAATGAAGACCACCCGTTAGCCCCTATGCCCGATGGACAGAAGGACGCCCGACGCGTCGACTTTATCCAGCAATCTGGCGCGTTGCGGTCAGACTACGACCGCTCGGCGCTGAATATGATCGCGCAGGTGGCGGCCGAACGCCTCGCCTGTCCGATCGGCTTCGTCTCGATGGTAGACGATGCGCAGTTCCACGCTATCGGCAACTACAACCTACCCGTGGAAGCGCATCACCTTCCTCATAACGAGAACATGTGCATACACGCCGTGTACGCGGACAAACCGTTAGTGGTTAAAAACCCGCAGCGCGATATGCGTTTCGCTCAGATGCCGTGCGTGGAAGACCTGGGCGTCAAGTTCTACGCTGGTTTCCCGCTGCGAGCCCCAAACGGAGAAGTGGTAGGGTCCCTGTGTGCAGCAGACGGAGTTGCGCACAACAACATCTCCACCAAGGACTACGCGACGATGGAGACGCTGGCCAAGCTAGCCTCGGACCTACTGGCGCACAACAACCCCCAGAGTACGAAGAGCTGAGGTGAGCGAAACGTAAGTTACATGTACATGCAAACGAATGTAGCCATCCAGTCATTTATGCAGTGCATGTACATTGCAAAGCAAGCTCTTAGCTTCATGACGCCTCTGCTACAGTAGCAGCTGCTGCCGTGGAGCAACTTGCTCCGAGCAAGTCTTTACTGAGGGAGTGGGCGAAGTTTTGATACGCATGACGCCACCCAATCGCCTCTTCAGCACACAGCACCTACAGATATACGGGTTGCAAGCACTGCTGAATTGCATTGACCATCCTTCCGTGTATGATTCCTTTCCTTAGTTAATGACCTTTGTTTAGTGATAATTCAGCTTTTCAAATCTCTAACCTTGGAAGCCATTCGGAAACCGAAATTTTATGGAGTGTCGTTTTGGGATATTTCTGCCGAGAGGATTGTCTGCAGCTGTCGAGTTTTGTGCAGTACTTCTCCGGCCCACTTCAAAATGACGATTTCAGTTTTGGGCAAAAAACTCTTTAACAAGAGCTAGCTGGTAGACACATGGCACACCACGTCATAGCCCGAAGTACGACGCACAGGATCATATTTTTTAGGTTGTAAGAATGGTAAATATGCGCGTGCACGCTGCGATCAAAACCGCCGCGTTTGGAAAGGCATTAGGTTTTTTGTCGCAATTCAGTCAAAAATTAGCGATATTACACCATACTTTTAGAGCGGCTAAACCGGGCAATTAACAACAGCTGGACGCAGTTTCAGACGCAGGGGCTTACTGGAAGCACCGCGAATTAGATGTGTTTGGGGCGAGGTTTATTCGGAAAGTCGAGAGCATTTGTGTAAACCAACTATTTATATTGACCAATCAGTGATTGCCTAAAAATTATAATGATAATTACGAGCAACAAAAGGTTCAATTAACTTCAAATTTATGCATACAGCTGATTATATCCTTTCGTAACCGCATCGGTGTCGACTACAACCGACATTGGCAGTTGCGCATTACGTCCAATATGTTTACTAACGCGCGGAAGCTTGAAATCGTTGCCCCCACCACTAATCATAATAGACTCCATCACTTTCTGCAAAGTGATAAAACACTTGTCAAGGTTTTGCCACCTGAGCTCGTCGAAAGCTTCCTCAACCGCCGTAATAAGGCTGTCAGAGTCGTAGGCAGATTTTCGATACTGTAGAGCTTGAATAGAGGAGAAGTATCCCAAATCAAGTACATTTAGGTCGGGTGACCGAGGCGGCTGGCAGCGCATCTTTATCTTCCGTCCATCAACCATTCCAGCATGTTCTAGTTGAGCATCACCTTCTAAAACATGAGGCCCTGCATTGTCCTGCTGGACGACCACGGTCGAGCCTCTGCGAACTAAGAACAAAAAAAATTAATTGAGTTACAGCAATAAAAAATAACACTTAAAAAATTCCTGGCAGCTTGGATCGAATTGCTGGAAATACTTTTTCGACAAGTAGTTCGCGGTAAAGAGCTCGTGTCATAGACACACTCTTCGTAATTAGCGTACCTTTAGGACGATTAACGGAGCTACGAACCGCCTCGACCTTTTTAACAATAGGCCAAATGCCAATCTTACCATCAAAGTACTGTTTCTTGTGATAGTCGTAGCGAGGACGTGCGACAGCAGCTAAGAACATGATTTTACCTTTGTATCTCTTGTTTGCACAGGATCGATAAGGCAGCTGCTCATTGGCTGTCAGGTAATATCTTGTGGCCCCTTTGTAGAGGTTAAACCACTTTTCATCTACATGCACAGTATCGTACATGTGATGCATGCGGTACATTCGGGCACCTGAGTCAAAACAATTTAGACAAGATAATTAATGGCTATAACAATTAAAAAGGTTGAGTAATAATAACTTTCGAGATGTTACAGTACCTAATGCCATCTCGACATGCGAAAAAAACCCATTGTAGTCGTTTTGTCTTGTGAGCATCAGTCAGAGTAGGTTTAACACGAGAAGATGCGCGACGTAGAGTCCCATCAGCAAGATACCGCTGTAGCGTAGTGCGTGGTATACCAGATGCAGCCGCCAGTGCTCGTTGGGTTTGCCTCTGGCAAAGCGGCACCCCTTGGACGATATCGATAACTTCTTGCACCGACAGGCGCCTTCCGCGCTTGGGCTGCACTCGCTTCTGGGCGGATATAAATCCGACCTTTTGGCGCGACTTCCAGATCTTCTTGACGCTGTTGCGACACATATCAAAAGCCTCCATAGCTGCATAAACTGCTCCACGGAGCAATTTACCGTTAGCGCTCCGTTCAGCAAGGAACACAACCACATTGAGACGAGTTTCAGGCGTAATGTCTTGTTTTCCAGGTGTTCTGGGCATCGTGCTAAAACCCAAAATGCGGGGCTGACTTTAGTCTAGGCCAACCATAATTTTAGTGGCCCGCAGCCATGCAAAACCAAAGTCTTTTTTATCCAATTGAAGTAGATTATTCAGTTATGTGCGATCAATAAAAAAACCCAATCATCATTTTGAAACGGGCCGGAGAAGTACTAAGCAAAAATTAACCTTTTAAAGCTTTTTTGTGTAAACTTGTGGTACCAGGTACGATTAGTGTAGTCACTACACTAATCTACAGTAGTGGTAGTGGTAGCCGATCGCCTCGCTTTTCCTTCCTTCGTGATTTGGCGCCATCCCGTTCAAATCATGATTCAAGTCGAACTTAAGTTCTCCATATTCTTCACATATCGCATCCACCATTTGTACATGGAGTTGCCGACGAGATCACTTTCCGGGACTTTGTGAAGCCCTAGCAGCTTAAATACCTCGCCATGAGATTTCCAAAGCGCAACAATACCAGTAAGCGTCCTATCTCGCAATTCCGTCGCTGCCTTTTCCATGCTGGGGTACTTCATTGCAGCATCGAGAATATGGAGTAAGGGGCCGGGATTCTTTTCGTAATCCTTCTTTAATGTCGCGAATATCTTTGGTATTTTTCCTCGATCGTTAGTGGCGACAGTATCCATGTACGAGACCCAAGTCTTGAGGAGCTGCGTGCGATACAAATCTGCTTCGTGTAGCTCTAGCTTGACGAAGACTTTTTGAACAGACTCACCATTTCTCAGCCACATCTGAAACAGTTCAGACTCCAGTTCCGTGGCCCTCTTTTTCGTCATACTTTTCGCTTTCGACGCTATAAGAAATGTCGCCACTTCTTTATCGCCAAACCTCCGAGTCAATGTGGCGACCGTGCTAGTTGCCTCGTTGGGGTACCTTTTGTTGAATTTGTTTTAGGTACTTGGTCCACGTGCTCCATATCGGGTTTTCTAATGAGTACAACACGTCAAGTTTGAGACCAACCAGGGCCTCATCCGGTGTTTTTCGACTAGTCAGCCAGAACTGAAGCACATCGTCCTCCACCCTCTTTGCGATGCTTTTGGTTGCATCAATATTCTTCGCTTTCAAAGTTAACTGGAGCAGATCACCATCCGTGGCATATTTTCGTAATGCTGGAACCATTGACACAGTGTGCTCTGGATACTTTGCGTTCAAATCGTCCACATACTTGACCCAAGATCTGAATTCAGGGTTGCTGAAGATATCCTGACTTGACTTGATCCTGGGCTGGAATAGATGAAAGACGTCGCTAGGATCCTTTCTTGTATCTATCCAGTACCGCATTTGCTCTGCTTGAAGATGCGTTGCCAATTCCTTCGTTTTCACGTTCGTGCTCTCCCTGGCCTTTTCAATGAGTTTGTAGAGGGAATCGTCGCCGTACTTGGCAGCTAGTGTCGAGGTTGGGTTAATATTTTCATTCTTGGTGACCACTTTGAGCTCATCTACGTACGAGACCCACTTGAAGAACTGTTCGTTCAGAAAGAGATCATCTCCGGCATCCTGGAGATGCATGCGCTGGAATGCCGATGCAGCTGATTTCTCTTTCTTGAGCCATCTTCTAATGAAATCTGGCGTCACAACCAGAGGCGTGACCAGCGTCTTTACTTTCTCTACGATAGGCACAGAAAGCCCCCCTCCTGCCCTCTCCTCGTCGCCATCATTATCAGTGGCGTGGCTAACTCGCAAGAATCTCTCTGCGGCCTTGTGAACATCGTTACCACTAGAAAACGGTGAGCGAGGTACTTTGGCACTTGAAGCATCAATGGATTTGATCGAGAAGATGATAGGCACACAAATTAATACCAGAAAGCAACGAAGCCGCATCGTTGCTGGTCCAGACAGTTGTGAAATCAATGTGTCTTGTGGCCATGAAATCGAGCTGTATTACGATAATTTTGTCATACATTATTATGACACGTAAACATTTAATCTCATAAACACTTCCCCTTTCACACAAACACCGCATCGCCCCTGTCCTATTAATAAGCGAACGCCCATGTTCGACAGCTGTTTCATTTGAGATTAAGTAGAATAAAAATAAATGAAGATATTCTAGCCTAGCCCTTTTTGACAAATGCTTTAATTTCATTGGCTATGAAGTTATTCTCGAATTATCTTTACTCTGACTTTCAAAGTCAGAATAACTTTAATCCCGGGAATAAAATTGCACAAGCTGATACCTATCGTTGGCCAGCCACGGGCCATGGTTGGGCGTACGCTGGCATCAATCGCTCGAGTAGACGTGCGAGGCGACGTTTGGTGTAGGTAGGGATGCGTGGAATGCTTAAACAACAGACAGACGAAGCAAACATGACCTACATTTCCTCGGGTGGCGATGCGCCCAAGGCACTCGAATTCGTACCGCCTTGTCCGCGGACTTTTCGTAGATGGCGACGATTCAACACGTTCTTAATCAATTTCCACCCGTAGGAAAGCGATGGATGCAGTGTGGTGCGCAACAATATCCCAGATGAGGCTGAAGCGAGCGCGCAGCACGCTCCATTAGCGGCTCGTAGTACATGTATTGTGGTTTTCAGCCTTTTTGCCGCCCGTTTTAGCTACGCATCTCTGAGGGGGTCCGATTTGTAAAACTGACCTCTTATAGGGATAGGTTGAATCATTTTGGAGGGCCAACCGAGTGACATCCTCACTGGCCACGGAGACAGCAAAGCAGCGGAGCAGGCAGCGAGGTAACCAGGGGCGCACGCCGTCGGTAAGCTATAAGCGCATTACTTGGCGGGAAATGCACATTTAGAGCTACACCTAGTCTGTACAGAATGCTGGATAAGCCGAAGGCCAGAGAAGACCCGAGGAGCCCACGGACATCGAGGGTTGGCAGCCGCAGGAGAAGGAAATATGCGTGAAGCTGCTTGGGACGCCGTGCTCACGAGGCATGCACGCTAACGCACAGGTACGGTCTCTTTACTGCTTTTGATCAATGCTAACTGACTGACTTCGTACTGCTCATAATGGCGCACAGAATGCATAGGAAGTTTATCAATCTTGTCGGTAAATTTATAGGTAAGTTGCAGCTGCATTGTTAGTCGTCGGCTATTGAGTAGCAGGCTTGAAGGATCGCTGTGCTAATTATGATTCTGGTCTAATGCCTCGATAAGAAGCGTAGGCCCTCATACACTACGGACATCATATTGGTCTGCAATAAAGCCTTATACTGAGGACGAGCAAGCACAGCAATAATTTGTATGGACAACTTGAATTCGTATCGCCTAGCAGGTGAACATTTAGAGTTTTGCTGTCATGTCGACTAGCGGTTTCGATGGACCGAGCGACAGCAGTATCGTGCCTGGTGCCGGTGCATCTACGGGGGCTACGTCGTCCTCCGCTCCATGGGCAGTCGATGCTCTCGGGCCGCCCGATGTTGGCCCTCCGCCGTTGCCAAGTCGAGCTGATGCAATACTGACTATACGAGTGGGAGAACCGCTTGGCCGCGCTCGTGGTGGCTGGAAGAGTGATGTCGATTTCGAAGTTTCTGAAGGCTATGCTGTTTTTAAGCAGAAATTGCAAAATATACTGCGCTCGTGGCGTCTCCTGAAGTATCAAAAAAGCCTCTCGTACTACCAGACGACTCATCCGTTTACTTGCGGCGTGCGAGGAACGATACTCAAGCCAAGTATATCGAGCTGACGTCTGATAACTTTTTGACAACACTTCAACACCGATGGTAAATACTCTCAACCGATGATCTCCGCCACATTGGAGATTTTCGCTTTAAGACGTTCCTCTACGCAAGCGGGCGGCTCAACCAGAGCAATATTACCGTGCTACCGCGCGTCGCATTGCCAATGCTCGAGTACAAAGGATAGCTTACGAGACAGCTAATGCAGTGCAGTTTGGAGCAATCAATTCGCACCATCTTGATGAAGTGCATGCAAGAAGACCAGAGTCGGCTTCATTTGAAGTTCCTGAGGATAACACAACTGCACAAGCAATGGAATTAGACCGATAGCGAGAGGCTCTGCAGCAGCAGGAAGCCGATGAGCAGGCCATACCGGATACAGCAATTGTGAGCATTAGGGTCAATGGTTTATGGATGCCTCTTGAGGTCGACATTCTGTCACTTCGGCGTGCATTACGACTGCCAGACCACGATATATTCTCTCGCGGTATCTACCATGAATTCACACCCACTCAGCCAACCAATGGAATGATGAACGACGAGGACCATGCCGATGACGAGCCCATGAACTAGAAGAAAACGCGAGCTTAGTGCAGTACGAGATGCATGTATCGAATAATATTCATCATTACAAAATTAAGCTACTCATCGTCTGCACTTCTTCGAATTAGATCGTCAAACACTTGGTCTCTTATTCCAGTAGCCATGTAGCCACAGTGACGAAAAGTGCCAAAACAACCTTTATCTTCGAGACGCGTACACGCTCGCATTGCAACATCCAGAACCTGATCTGGATACAATGGAAAACGAGATTAGCACGCCTTTGGAGCCAACGTTTTAGAAGGCCAAAGCACGGCTCTATCGGGTTGAGCTGTGGGCAATAGGGCGGTTAAAATATTAGTCTAGCTCCACACTGGTGTATGGCTTCTTGGAGCTCTGGGTAGGCATGGATTTTGGCGTTATCCATCACAACAATGGAGCGAGGAAGAGGCCACGGGTTCAGAGTTGAAATAATATGCTCCACAAACGCCTCGTAGAACTTATCTCGCGTGAACGTTCCTTCAGTCCACTTCCATGCAAAAAATCCTTGCACATCAAGCGCGGCTAGAATTGATAGTCGCGTTCCTCTTCGGAACGGCATTTTCGCAATTGCTTGGGTATTTCGTTTCGACCACCCATAGCGTCGTTGAGAATGGCGTCCGTCCTTAGCAGTCTCGTCCAAAAATACGAGTTGCTCTGCAAAAGAAAAAAGTGGAAGAAGCTTGGCGCGGTAGGCTTCAATTTCCGCAGGGACGGCTTCTCGTGCGGCCTTGGACAACACTTTTCGGCTGAGCTTGAGATCAACATTGAGTACGCGACAAATTGTCGCTGTCGAGACTGTAGTTATTGCTGGAAAATTCTTGACAATGTGCTCACGTAGCTCTTCGATCAAAAAACGTGGGGTGAACTTGTACGTAAGCTTCGACAGCGGCAAGTACGTCAGGTGGCCAGCGTGTGCAGGTCTGACGAGGCTGCTTTTCATTGACAATGCCTTTCTGGAGGAACAGCGCGTACCATCGGCGAAGGGTGCGCTGCTTAGGACCGAATAGATCAGATACGTATACAGTTGGCACGTCGTAGACATGCATCAGTGCCACCGCACGCCATCGAAAGTCATCGCCGTAGGTCATAAAGGAACATGCAATTATCAAACGTGTCTTTTAGCAACTGTAAGAGCTGCAATGCCGGGGGAGGGCTGAGGCTGAGGATGAGGCTGAGGCTGCAACGCGCTTACTTATACCGTTTTGAAACGGCAAAATGGAGACTTCTCAACAAAACTGGCCTGAAATCGTTCTCTTCACCTATTCGCCTAGCACATTTCGCACCATCGTGCTTGCCATATCGGAGCTGCTCGCTATTTTGGACCCCTTATCTCGGGATAAGAGACCTCTGGTTTGCCAAAATGGATGAAAACCACAATAGCTCTTTGGTAGGGGAATCGTTTACCTTCAAAAGTTGATATCACTTTTCCACGAGATCAACTTATTCCAAATCTGTTTTGTTTGATTCGCTATTTCTGCGAGGTTATTCCGCTACTTATTCTCAAATGAAACAGAGCCTTACGGGTAAGATTACTTGCAAATCTCATAATGAGAGCTAAAAAGTAAAAATTATCCGACACTGATCCAGTTGAACGTTCCGTTCGTGAAAGACCTGCCTCCATAAATTCCAAAGTGGTCCGCTGGTGAGAGCTGCTAATAGTATTTCGGTCGAACACCTCTGGCTATTTGTACGCTGTCGCTCTTCCTTTTGCATCTTTATCAGCCCCGGTCAGACTGCTGCCTATAATTAGCTCGCGAAAAGACCCTTTAATGGGCAGCCATCTGTTATGAATACAGCGCTGTTATTGGCCATAACCGAAGTTCGCTTAGGACAAAACTTCGCTTAGGACAGGGGCAATGCGGTAAGCTGAAGCCATGGGTTCAATACAGTCACTATTATCTCAATAAAATTTAGTCATGGTGTAGGATTGTGTCTTCTGTATACCTAACTACCGTAAAAATCGCCCCCAGTGCGACAAACGGGTCCAGCGCGACGCTCCCATTTTAATGAATGGCATATCCCCCAGATATACTGCAAATCTCGAAAAGTAGAGGCCTTGGCGTGAATTCTATTACCCCCCCCTCCCCCACAGACATGGATTCGTGTTGCCAAGCGAGTAGACTTTCACCCCCTCCTTCCTACTTCATACTTTATGGGGAAACCCCGTCGGCTTACAAATACCGAGTAACTCATGTTGTGGGAAACAGACCTCAAAAAGACGATATGCCGCCTGTTTAGGAGGGGTGTCACCGTAAGGGTTAATTTTGAAAAAACCTTGGTGAGGTTATATACTTGACTTGATTTTGACCAAAAATCGTTGTCGCACTGGGGCCGATTTTTTCGGTACCACTCTGGCCCACTTAATAATAGATCATTCGGTTCTCGAGCTATAATATCATCCAGAATTTTTGGTTAGGACCTAAAATAAAGCCTGAGATTACCCATTTTCGCTTGATCTGATCGGCTGTCAATATTAGCTAAAATTTTGAATGCAAATGTTTAATTTGCGTCGACGATTTTGGTAAGCACTAATAAATATAGCAGCATCATCATTTTTTAACGGTATTAATCAAAAAGGGTTCCGGAGACATTTTACTCCACATCATATGCATCATATATACCAAGCGTTATTCATAAGGCTGGTCGAAGAAAAGAGTTTTTTTTTACTGAACCCAGAAATTTTTATCTAATCACATGATACAGATCTATTTGAAGCGCCAAATATGGAACACATTGACATGAGGTTAAATAGAGCTGTCAAAATGTTATGTGGCCAGAGCGGTATTTTGGTAGGCAAATATTTGCTTCTACGACGATTCGTTTGCTAATTTTTGTAAAAATTAAAATTTAAGCAAAGAGACGCTACCTTAAGCTTAATAAGTGCAAAATCGGGGTCCTAAGGGCGATTTTTTTTAAAATAAAATCCGCCGTAAAGCAATTTAATAAAGTTCATGTATGTTGTTTCAGTTTGCATGTCGAAGTGGGCGCGTTTTAATTAAGATTGAGTACACTACTGGACTTAAGAGCAATACATGTTTTAAAAAGGGTCGTGACTTATTAGTAGACAGCTTTATGATTCTGTCTATTGCGTCCTACTACTCGTCGTTGTGACGTAGCAGATCAATCCAAGTACTGCTGTAATTAACACTCACGTCGCCTCCTCGGGTGATTTCGGATATCGATACTCGCAGCAGCAACTTTACTGACAAGGAGGAGCTTACCGAGAGCCCCAGAGCGGTAACGAGATCCAGTGTGTGTGGGGGGGGATCTACGATGTAAGCAATCCTAAAATGGTCCATTGAGGGTTAGGTTAAATCGTAACCTCCATCAAGTCATGCTCCTCCGCCCAATAAAGTGGACATATATGACCAGACAACATAACTTTCGCGACAATATATACTGAAGGATATACGTAACAGTCGCTCAGCGTAGTCTTCCTCGACTGTAATTTGGTCATCGATCCGTGTGTAGCAAACGAATGGCTCTGTTTTCCGCTACCGAGCACCAGCGTGGTGGACTCTCGCAACACCAAGAAAGTTATTGCTCCACCGAAGGTGCCGTAGTGGGCCGGTGATCCTATCCACACAAAAGGCAGAGACCAGTCCATCACAGCTACTCCCTGTTGTGAAGGGATCTAGTAAATCTTGAGCATACCTGTGATATGGTCGCAATAGTGGCGGAAAGCGGTTTAGACGTCGTCAGACTTCAGCTTCACGCTCGTGATCAATTCAGCGCGACGTGCCGGGGGGGGGTATTGGGGTCTGATGCGGCGCTCACGGGTGACCCGTGGAAAATGATAGGTACTGTTGTCTTGTCCTTCTCGGATACTGCGCACTATAAGCTTTTTTCATTACCACAGCACTTAAATTGTTCTCTTTATCTGTCGCACCTCCTTTGAGACAGAATGACGGTTCTGATCCGTCGGAAATGTATGCTGAAACCTATTGTATATTTTCCTGCACTAGGTTCTGGAGCTCTAAACTCATGCGTAGCAACTCGAGGTGTTCGGCATTCAGAGCTTTGTGAGTCGGTTATCCGCATGCGTTTGTCCGCGCCACAATCGAATCGTGACCTTCCACTGAGAGATTAGCATGATTAACCAGCTCTATCAGAGCCTGTTGTGCTTCGCCGTTGAGTCAATAGTATAGCTGAGAGATTGGGTAGGGGTCTGGGGCTGCCGGTGGCAGCGCACCAGCAGCTGAACAGGCCGGGCAGCTCCGCACCGACTAAGAAGTTTCTTGAATTGAGATGGCTTAATTTGGTGAGGTCGAGCTGGGCGCTGAGGTCAAATCGGCGGAAGTGGAGAGCGGATAACGCTCATTCGTCAAAGAGAAGGGGTTTCCGCACCCGGTCATATTACGGCCGGTTACGGAGCAAATCGTGTAGCACGGGCGTCGTCAACAAATGCTCCAGGGAAATTTCTTCAGTGGTCGTCTGCACAGGTGCGGTCGTACATATCCTGGTTTCGTATCGAAAGGAGAAGGCTGTGCAGGCCGTCTGGTCGGGCCGGTGTCTCGTCCCACAGTATTATATCAGGAATACTTGAGAATCGGAGCCGTTGGTTTCCCGCACACTTATTTGCCAATCGTAGGGTTGAAGTAGCTTGGGGACACGTGGACTAACGTTCACTCGGGTAGTAAATGCCCTTAAGCACTTCGTCTGTGCAAGGTGCTGTGGGACCCCATCACACTAGGTAGCACTCGTAGTCAATCGTACACCTTCGCGGGTAGATTGAACTACCTATATTCTATGCGCGCTCTACGTTGGAGCCACGTTGGACCGAATTTAGTTTCCTCGCTTGAACGACTCACAGTACGAGTCTGTTCGGAAGATGGGAGGCATCGTTGGACAAGATGTCCTTCGCAGCTTGGCGGCGGTGACGACTGCTGAGCAAGAAGACCTCGTGGCCGCGTTTGAGACGTATGCGCGGGGTCTCATTGCTCACGTCCGCGGGAGCTTGAAGGCCTCGATGATTACTCCCAAGGCAACCAGGTCTAAGTCGATAAGGCGGAAGGTTCTTTGGTTTGAGCGGAAGAAAGGAGAGAGCCTTCGCTTCTGGGTCCGTGACGTGGAGATCGTCATGAAGGCGGGTCTCTTCTCGGACGAGCCACTTCGGGTAGCTTGTGCCCTGTCCAACCTTGGTGGACGTGCCAAGCACTGGACATACACCAGGGAGATGACATCTCATGGATGCTTTGCATTCTGGGCTCAGCTGTATGAACAGCTTCGAGCCGCGTTCCTACCGACAAACAGCGCGTTCCACCAGCGCTCACACTTTCTCGCATGTAAGCATGGTAGCCGTGAGCCGAAGGAGTACGCGTAAGAGATGCGCACGCTGGCGGTATCTCTAGCAGGGAATCCTCTGCCTGAAGAAATCAAGACAACAGTCTTCATGGACGGCATGAAGGTCGGCCCTGCTCGCACCCAGCTATTCCGGGTGCAAGCGACAACTATGGAGGAGGCGACTCAAAACGTCCTTCAGGAAAAGTACAGCCACACGCAGGCTGGTACACCTCAGGAAGAGGAACATTGCCACGATGAGGATGGTGTTACTCGGGAGTCGGGGCATCGCAGCAATGACGCTGTTGATCCTGCTGTCACGCAGCCCGTTGATACCGGTGCGTACAGCGAGCCCAAACCCATGGCCTTAAGCTCGATCGAGAGCTTGGTCCGCTGCTACGGATGCGGCAGACATGGACACTACCAGCGTGTATGTCCCTCGCCAGCCCTCGGGAAGAAGACAGTCCATGGACCCCAGATCCGGTTGTGCAGGTCATGGCTAGGTGGACGACGACTCCCCGACCAATAGTAGAGGTGGTATGACATACTGAAGAGCGCTAAGGCTTCGTGATGGGTGTGCAGGCTGTGCGCACCACAGGACATAGCCCAGCTCTCTCAAACCGGTGAAGGTAGTACACTCGGTTTACGGGGATACGGTACCCCTTGATCGTCGGATAAGTTCTGAAGCGCTGATACGCCGCCGGAACGTCGCTTGGCATAGCGTCACCCGACTGCACTATATGTCAGAGTGGCTGGTTCTTGGTGGACTAGCCTTTGGTACGGAGAAGGAAATACCAATGGTTCTCAACGGACCGGAACGTCTGGGGTCGATGAACTCGCGCACCGCGGTATCGCTCGCAGTTCTCGCCATGAACAACGTGGATGTGCCGAACATAAGGCACAGACCGGACTTTGGTGTGGTAGGGCTGAGAAGGGTCTGCCAGTCCAGGTCTATGGCGGAGCATTAGTGAGTCATGTTCCCACCTCCGTCACGCCTTGGGCTTCTAATACAGATTGTCTGGACGCAGAAGTGTCACGGATTTGTCGACGCGCCGACAGCTCTGTGTACAGCAAGACCATGCTCCGCTGCGGCAATGTCACGGACATGGATGCTTTGCCCGGCGTGTGGACAGGCTACACCAGCAGCACCCAACACCGAAGGTCGTCGTGCCGTACGGGCTTTGACAGTTGTTATGCCTATAAGCGCTAGCCAGTAGGATCACACGGTCGCCCAGATCTTAACTGAAGCGGAAGACGCTGAATGCGCTTCCTGTGTGGTTAGCATAGTACCACACACAGACGCCCGGGCTATAACTGAAGAAGAAGCCATTGATGTGCTTCCT